CACCTAAGAACAACATGCCATTTACATTCCCACCAGTAATGGATGACGATTCCGATTCCTTTACATACTCACCAATGCCTATTATTTTCTATTTTTTAATCATAGCCATTCTAGTGAGGATGAGGTGCTATCTCATTGTGGTTTTGATTTGCATTTCCCTAATGACTAATGATGTTGAGCGTCTTTTCATGGGCTTGTTGGCCATTTGTATAATCCTCTTTGGTGAAATGTCTAGTCAGGTTCTTTGCCCATTTTCTTGATTGGGTTTTTGTTTCTTTTTGTTGCTTAATTTTATAATTGTGTTTTAATGATAACGCTTATACTCTGTGTGAAAAACAAAGTCACAGAGACATGTAGAAAGTTAACAGGGTCTTTATCAATTCTACTTCCTCAAATTCCAGCTGTGATCTGTGGATTCTTCCGGATCTTTTCCAATGCATATACAAGCATGTACACAGACACACACAGATACACTCATAAATTTTATATATAGATGGGATTCACCACATGTCATTCTGAAACTGAATTTCTTACTCTGTCTCCTTGTGTCAGATTGAACTCATGCGTAACTTAAAAAAAACTGGTGAAAATATAACAGCAAGTCAACAATTTCCACATGCATAATTGATTATATTGATTATATTCAAGTTGTGCAATCATTCTTGCTATCTTTTTCCAAATCATTCTGCCACTATTAACATAAACTCATTGACCCCCTGAGCAATAGCTTCCCCTCCCCCCTCCCTCCTACCCCTGGTAATCACTAATAATCTTTGTTTTCCATATATTTGCTTATTTCATATAAGTGAGACCATACAGTACGTGTCTTTTTGTGACTGACTTGTTTTGCTCAGCATGATGTTTTCAAGGTACACCCATGTTGTGGCATGCATCAGGATTTCATTTCTCTTTATGACTAATATTCCCTTGTATGGATGGACCACATTTGGTTTATCCATTCATCTGCTGATGGCCATTTTGGTTGTTTCCACATTTTGGCTTTTGGGAATAGTGCTGCAGTGAACATTGCTGTACAGGTTTTGCTGTGAAGTTTTATTGGCCATTAAAAGACCAAGAAGTCTGAGGCTCAGAGGGGTGATGGTCATGCCTGAGGCTGGTCAGTCACACAGCTGTGACCACAGCTGGTCTGACACGCGTGCCCACAGTTTCACTCCAGGTGGGGGTAGCTTGGCCTCTGGAGGGAAGCCAGCCCCAGTTTCCCGTATGTGGGTCCCCTGCCTCCCTGCACTCCCTGGGGGGACATTATGTAAGTCAAGCAGGTATGATTTGTCGGCTCAGACATTCCTTGTTGGATGAGATATCCTTGGAGAAGCTCCTACCTCCTCAGGCAGGGATTTCCCGAAGCGGGTTTTTCCTTAGGGATTCCCCCTCCCACTGGCTTCCTTCCCCCCCTTTCTGACACCTAATCTGATTCAGGAAGAAGGGGCTCAGCCTATGGATCCTGCCCTCCCCAGGGCTGCAGAGCTCTGCTGTATTTTGTGCTCTTGCTCGTGGGTAGTGAACGTTCAACACCGCTTCCACTTGAATGTTGCCAGATTGCGCTACTCCGTTGGCTCTCCCGAGACGCTGACCGTGGCTGTGTGGTCCGGCACGCTGCTGTCTCAGTGGCAGTATACAGGAGCAGGAACTCACTTGCTGGTGGTGCAGCCGGGTGTCTCGCCCTTCCGTCCTTGCAGGGACTCCCTCTTCATTCAGGTCCTCCTCGATGACCACCTCCTCCTGGAGGCGCTCCTTCACCCAAGCCTAAGGTAGAACCCCCAAGGCATCTCTCCCACATCAACTACCACTGTACGATAGGTTCTGGATCATGTATGTGATCACTGTCAGTCTCTCCACTAGACATGAGCCCGTTAAGGGCAGGGATTGTGTCTTAGGGGTCTGCAGAGAAGCAGAACCAATATCTATCTATATCTGTGTCTGTATCTCTATATGTCTATCTTTATATCAATATCTATATATAACTATATCAATATCCATCTATGTAGATGTAGATATCTATGTAGATATCTATCTATATCTCTGTATCGATATCCATATCTCTATAACTACATCAATATTTATATTATGAAAGTTCACAGCTTTGAAAACTCTGTGGAGCACAGTTCTACTCTGTACACCATGAGTCAAATTCAACTCAGTGTTAACTAACAGCAACAACAAAATATATTTGCTTAATTCATATAAGTGAGATCATATAGTATTTGTCCTTTGTGACTGAGTTATTTCAGTCAACATGTTTTCAGGGTTCATCCATGTTATGGTATGTATTAGGACTTCATTTCTCTTTATGGTAGTGTAATATTCCATTTTATGTATATACCACATTTTGTTTATCCACTCATCTGCGAATGGCCATTTCAATTGTTCCCACTTTTTGGCTATTTTAAAAAGTGATGTAATGAACATGAGTGTATAGGTTTCTGTTTGCATTTCTACTTTCAATTTTGTGTATATACCTAGGATTGGGATTTCTGGGTCATATGATAGTTCTATGTTCAGCTTTTCATCTATGGTCTCTTTTAATGCTTACCACAATCTTGTGAGCTGGGTGTATCAGCTTCCTAGGTTGCTGTAACAAATTACCACAACATAGGAGGCTCAAAAATGACAGGAATATATTACCGCATAGGTCTGGAGGCTAGAAGCCCGAATACAGGGTGTTGGCAGGGCCATGTTCTCTCCGAATGCTCCAGGGGAAGGTCCTTCTTCATCTCTCCCAGCTTCTGGTGGCTCCAGGTGTTCCTTGGCTTGCAGCTGCAGCATAACTCCAATCTCTGTCTCCATCTTCCTTCTGTCTCTCTCCGGTCTCTTCTACTCTTTTATAAGGACATCACTCAGATTGACTTAGGATCCACCCTACTCTAGTGTGACCTCAATGGAACATCTTCAAAGTTAAGTTATCATCTTCAAAGACCCTATTTCCAAACAAGTTCACATTCATAGGTACTGGGAGTTAGGACTTCAACATATCTTTCTGGGGACACAATTCAATCTGTAACAATGGATGCTACTGAAATTCCCATTTACAGATGGAAAGTAATGCAGGGTTAATGGTTAAGGATGCATCATGTGAAGCCAGACCTCCTGAGTGGGTTCCTGGCTTCCTCATGTACTAGCTGTGTGACTTTGGACAAGTTGCTTAAATATTTTTCTTGGTTTCTTCATCTTTAAAATAAAATAAAATAAAAAAGTTAATATATCCAAAAGGCTTAAAACAGGTTCAGTGACTGATCTTGGCAAATAATGGTGGTAGCCGCCACTCCAGCTCTTGGCTGCCTGTCCATCCCAGGTACATACTAGGTCTACAGTGAGCTGAGCCCCTCCCAGGGGTGGGGTGGGTCCTAAGTCTTTATCTTGCATCTCTCAGGATCCTACCTGGTTTATCAAGCCCTAGCCCTGTCCCTGCTCCTGCCCCAGATGAAGTCTGCCCCACCGGAGGGGGTGAAGATTCTTGGGGGTCCACCCCAGCCTACAGAGGGCTCCAAGAACAGATACCTGACTCCTGGGACCATATTGGGCTGGAAGGGACATTGTGGAGGATGAGGGAGGTTAGGGGTCTCCCCAACATCCTACCAGTCTCAGGAAGATGGCCTTTGCCCCACCCTCTTGTTGAGCAGCTCTGCTGGGAACCCCTCCTTCAAACATTACCTCATTTGAGACCATCCCACAGGGCGATTCTGGACAAGATCAAGGGAGGCACAAAGTAGGCATGCTTTATATGGAGTACCTGGTGCACAAGTACCTCGAGTACTTCCCTTCTCTCCCACTCTTCAGGGCTCCTGACCCTTCCCACCATCTTATGGAGCCCTCCTCTGCCTCCTCTAAGGTCCCCATCTGAAGCCCCATTTCCCAGACTGGAAAACTGAGGCTCAGAGAAGGGCCGGAACAGTTTATAGTCAGAGCAAGGGTTGAGTGGATCCCACTCCAGTCTCCTCTCTGTCCTCCTCCCCATCCTCCCCAAGCACAGCTTCCAGGTGTCCTGTCCCCACCTGTGCCCTTTATCCCATAATCTGAACCTGGTAATCCCCGTGAGGCTGGAATCTTTGTTCCTGCTATCTCCTGGGCTGGCTGGAGTCAGGATTGTACTCTGGTAGGGTTGGGTGGCAGAGGCAAGCAGCTTGCTGTTTCCGAGCCTCTGATTCCTGCTCCAAGAAATGGGGACACCACCCCTTTGTGGCTCACAATGTGTAGAGATGCCCAGCAGATGTTTTGGGGAAAGAACTTGGCCTTGCACCCCTGTCCCCTGAACCTTTGAGTTCAGATTTTTACTTGCAGCACACTGGCCAGGGTGGCTGTAAATTTTGCGTCACCCTTCCCCAACCCCCAACTTCTCCCCCTCCCCTTGTGGAACGTACTAGGGGTCTACAGGATCCAGCACCCACTCTGTGTGACCTGAGCCAGCTCTTCAGCTTCTCTGGACACCACTGCATCTTTTGGCCCCTCCCTGCCCCCATTCTGGGCAGTTGCCTGGCAGGGAGGAGGGAGCCAGGCCCATGGGGATTGGCTGGCCCAGGCCAGCCCCTCCCAGCTGTCCCCAGGGGTAAAGAGGTCCCAGGAGGAGGGGAGAGGAGGTTGTGCAGGACAAGCTGCTGAGGACAGAAGGTGCCAGGCTGGGCACCGCAGGGCTGGGAAGGTTCTGGTCTTGGGGAGAGGTGTGCTACCTACGGCTGGGTGACTCCAAGGAGCAAGCTGGTGCAGGAACAGTGACTAATGAGTAACTGGATCCTCTGAAACCCCCCTGGGGCTTCTGGGACAGGAATTCCTGAATGCCAGCCACCTCTTGCTCCATCTCTCTCTCTCTGTCTCCCCACCTCTTCCCCTGGCCTTCCCTGGACCTCCCTCCACTCTCTGGCCCCAAGTTTACCCATGTTTGCCCCCTCCCCTGTCCCTGGGGAATCCCTTGGCCCTTTTCTCTACCTTGTGCCCATCCCACCTCTGCCTCAGCTCACCATTAGCACCCTTTTTCATCGGCCTGTAGGATGTTACTGCTCAACCTGTCATGGCTGGGACTCTGGCATGGGGCAGCCTCCCTGTGGCTAATCCTGCTTCTGGCCATGACCTCCTGGCTCCTGGCCCGTGTCCTGGCCTGGACCTACACCTTCTATGACAACTGCCACCGTCTCCAATTTTTCCCGCAGCCTCCAATGCGGAACTGGTTCTTGGGGCACCTAGGCATGGTGAGTGGGGCAGTAAGACAGATCTGGGGTGTCAGGACCAGGGCAATCAGGGTCAGGGGGCTGGGGGAGAGGGGTGGGTGGGTCTAGGACAGCAGAGAAGTGAGGGAGGCCAAGAGGAGCCCTCTTTCCTCCCTCACTCTCCAGGTCCACTTCTCTCTTCTCTGCCCTCCTCCATAACTGAGTTCTTTCTCTCATTCTTCTCCTCCCTCACCCCAGCCTGCTTTGGGTTATTTTCCTCCTTATGTTTCCTCCATTAGTGCTCTCTGGCTCCCCTGGGGGGTTCCCAGGGCAGGCTGGACAGAGCCGGACCTCCTGCCTTTCCCACAGTCTCACCCTGAACAGGGAGTGTCATCAGGGGCACAGTGCAGGGTCCCTCACCTGCTGCTGGGCCCACCTCTGCTGACCTCTGGCCAGTGCCCCCCCGTGAGGGCTGTAGCTCCCCCACTGTCTCCTCCCACCCACAGGCACACAGCTGGGCCAGAGACGTGCAGGCAGTCTCCCCAGTCCATCCCTTCCTGGGGCCCCTTCCTCTTCTTAGCTAGCCCTCTACCCCCAAGATTACCAATGGACCCCATTTGAGAAGCCTTCCTTTACATCTGCTGTGGCCCTGCTCACACTTGTAATTAAATGGTTAATCTTCCAGTCATTTGTTTATCATCCATCTCTTCCACATGATTGTAGCTCTAGAAGGCAGAACTCTAACAGCAGTGCCCAGCCCTCGAACAATAAATGTTCAAGGACCCAGTGGTTGAGGACACATCCTGGGTCTGGGTGACCATCACATCCTTTGGGCTCTCAAGGCCAAAGGGACAGGCCCTAGCCTCTCCCCTTCCCCAGACCAGTTTGGGGACAAGCATGTCTCTCCAGCTTCCCCCTCTGCTGATAGGAGAACAGCAGTTTGGAGAAGAGCTACCTTCAATTCTGCTGCTCATTAAAGTAAAATTAATTCAGAATGGGATGCTCCCAAGCTCACCATGAAGTTTCCCGAGATTCCGGGTTTTGGGGTGTCCTCAGAGGGCCCTGGAGGCCGCAGGAATGTCATAGGTCACCTGCAGTCCTGCCTCCACTTCCTATGGCTTGGCCTGTGAGAGGCTGGTCTGGTCTGGATCACTCTACCTCTCCTCCAACCCCTTTTGCTATGTGACATTGGCCTAGTCACTCTCCCTCTCTGGATCAGTTCCATGAAGCACACTGAATCCTTGTCTCAGGTTTCTTGGGGAGCAGGGAGCAGGTCACTAGGTGAAAGCAGTTGGAGAAGGCTGGGAGTCAGGCACAGCCAGAGCGTTCCGAGAACCCTAGGGGGTATTTTGGGGGTCAGGCATGAACAGGGTGTCCCTAGGAGTCTTGAGAAGATGTCTAAGCAGTTAGGCTTGGATGGGCAGGGCGTCCCAGGATGTCCCAGAGGTCATTGCTACCAGGGATTCCCGAGGACCCTAAGAAAAGTCTTGGGGTTCAGGATCAGACTGCTGGGGTGTCCCAAGGACCTGAGAGATGTCTCACCAGAAACCTCCTCCTCTTCATTGTCTCTGCACTCCTCAGCCCCTACCTGCCCTTGGCACCATGGAGGGACCCATCTATAGGTTCAGGGAGAGGATGTTACAGACACACCTGTGACCACCGAACACACAGGAGGTGCTCCATCAAGGGGAGCTGCAGTGTAATGGGCAGTCAGAGTTCATGCCTGCTCCTGGGAGGCATGCGAGGCTGGAAGGTCCCAGGTCTGCAGACTTTCCCAGGTGGTGGACCCAGAGGCTGCAGTGTGGGCTACCAGGGCCCAGAGAGAATGTGGGAACAGGACCCTGTGCTATAGCCCTGAGACCACACTGCTGTCTGCAGACGTCTCCACAGGGACCTCTCCCTGTGACTGTCCTCTCTGCTGCGGCCACACTCAGGATGAGAAAACCCATTAGCTTGAGCCAAGCTCTGTGGCTAGAGAGTGTGCCTTTCCCCTCTACTCTTGGATACACCCTTGGACTTGGAGACTGCCACAAGGACCCTCCCACCCCCGAGGGACCCTTGTTCCTTTGGACCGAGGAGGAGGAAGCAGGGAGTCCCTCCCTCAGGGCAGAATCCTGACAATCATTCAGAGCAGAGGCTGTGCCACCTCTGGAAGGTGAGAAGAGGTGGATGCTTGTGGCTTATTCTGGAGAGGTGACAACTCCTGGTTGTTTGCAGATCACCCCCACAGAGGAGGGTTTGACGGAAGTGGCTCGTCTGGTGGCCACCTACCCTCAGGGCTTTAAGAGCTGGTTGGGCCCCATCAAACCCATCATCACTCTGTGCCACCCTGACATCATTCGGCCTGTTGTTAATGCCTCAGGTACCTATGCAGAGCTTGTGGTGGTGGGTGGTGTGGCAGCATCCAAGGGCTAGTGCCCCTCTGCCCCCCAGCTTCTGGGTGGCTCCTGCAAGACCCCAGCCCCTTTCCCTCTTCTCTCAGCCTTCTTTTTCTTTCATGCATTCACCAGCCTCCATCTCCCCATCTGCAACTCCCCCTGTATTCTCAGTCCAGGGTCCAATCATGGAGGAACCCCCATCATGGGGAGGAGGATCTGGACAGAGACACCCCCAGCTTAATGTGGTCAGGAGTGGGGCCAGAGGGAGACATGGGTCGGGGCAGCCCAGAGGAGAAGAAAGGCTTCTGTTGGGGCAGACTGGAAGGTTTCCTGGAGGTATGGTTGCTGGAACTGGGTGTGGAATGTTGTGTAGGAAGTTTTTAAGCTAGGGCAGGGTGATGCGGTGGGCAGTGGTAGCTTCTGAGCCTCCTGCCAGACCTAGCCTCTGCCCACCCACCCTAGTTGCAGCACTATGAGAAGGGTTCCGGGCAACTACTTCCATGACGTCCACCTCTGGTGGGTCAGTCCCTTCTACCCTATCCTGTGACTTGTCCATCCTAAGTTCATTCCTCCCCTGCTCCAGACCCCAGATATCTCTCCTATGATACCCCACCTCATCTCTGCTCCCTTCCTTTGCCCTCTGCCTTTTGCACCCTGGACAGGCAAATGGGCAGTGTCCGACAAAGATCTTGTCTCTGTTACTAACCTGTTCAGTGACTCAGGGCAGGTAGCTGACTCTTCGGTTGCTGAGGTCCCTTTCAGCTGTGAGTGGTGGAAACACAACCATGAGTGGCCTAAGCAAAGAAAGACAATCTATTGACTGAAAAGTCCAGGGAGGGTGGCCTTCAGGCACAGCTCAATCCAGGTCTCAAGCAATGCCACCAGGAATCTGTCTTCATTTCTTGGTTCTACTTTCCTTGTCAGTTTTACCTTCAGGGAAACTCTTTCCTCACATTGTAAATGATGATCCAAGAAGCTCCATTCCAATAAGAAAGCTCGCCTTTCCCCCAGAGTGCTCACTAATTCCCACTACCTCCCAAGACAATTGCTGAAACTCTACTTGCCCAGTCTTGGTGGGTACAGGGCTCTCAGAGCTGTTGTTTTGGGGACACAAGCAACTCAGTGCCTAAGAACTCAAGATCTAGATTCAGACAGACCTGGGCTCAGGTCCTAGGCAGTCTCTTACTAGATGACTGCTGCCCACAGCTTGCTGACGCTGAGCCCTGGTGCTGCCTTCAGCTGGTGGGTGACGAGGTGGGCAGACAGGAGAACTGTGGGGAGGGTCTGCTGCCTCTGATGCACCTGGACCCAACTGCCTGACCCTGGTCATGTCTGGTCATGTCTAGAGCAGGTTTGGGTATGATTCCTGCTGTGTGCCCACTTCGGGTGTATGTTTGCACCTGGGACCATTTGGAGATGGTCTCGATCACATCTGGGCTCAGTTGTAGCCCAGGACATCAGGGCCTGTCGGGGTCTGTCTGAGATGCCATTTGAGATTGTCTGTGTGTCCTGTTGGTCATGTTGGGGCCATGTTTGGGCTTGTCTATGTCAGGGCTGGGCTGTGTCTGGGACCCAGGGTCCTCTGTGAAGTGTCTGGGAGGTTATTTTAATCTTGTGTGAGACAGGTCTAAGGTATGTCCAGTCACACCTGGGCCATATCTGGGATATTAATGAGACCATATTTAAATTCTGTCTGGGACTTGTTTGTGGGATATTCTGAGGTCACGTCAGATGGCTCTGGTCCATATCAGAGCATGCTATGTCATGTTACAGACATGTTAGTCTGTGTCTGGTTTGTTGTGGCCATAGTGGGGCATGTTAGCAGATTCTTGGGTCATGTCAGCCATCTCAGCTCCGTGTCAGAGCATGTTATGTCATGTTATGGACATGCCAAGGTGTGCCATGTATGTTGTTGCCATGTTGGGACATGTTGGTCTCATATCAGCTGTTTCAGGTCCGTGTCAGGAGATGTCAGAGCAGACTGGGCCATGCCAGGGTGTCCTCGGCCCATGTGATGCATTTTGTAGGGTATTGGGCTGTTCTCGGTGTTTCAGAAATGTTGGATGTGGAGGAGACAAGTCCAGGCATGTTGTAATGTCTTGTGCCATGTTAGGGTGTGTCTAGCATTTTGGAGTGTCTTTGTGAGCTCTGCCTTTGCTCTACTTTTGCCTCTTCAGCCTGTTCTGGTCTGCCCTTGCCTCTTCCCTGTTTCCTCTGCCCTTAGCCCCATTCTTGTTGTACTGTGCTTCGAGGGGGGTGCACACCCCTGGCTGGGAGCCCACACCCCACCCAGAGTCCCTCCCTTACCCCTCTCCATGGCCCCTAATGGCACTCGTTCATATCAGCTGCCATCGCACCAAAGGAAGTGGTCTTCTACGGTTTCCTGAAGTGCTGGCTGGGTGAGTAACTATGGGTGAAGGGGACTGGGGACAATCTTGGGGTTCAGAGGAAGGTGTTACCCTTGCCCAATGCCCATGGCTGCCCCTACTAGGGGATGGGCTCCTGCTGAGTGGCGGTGACAAGTGGAGCCGCCACCGCCGCATGCTGACACCTGCCTTCCACTTCAACATCCTGAAGCCCTACATGAAAACCTTCAACGAGAGTGTGAACATCATGCATGTGAGTCCCATGAACACAGAGTCCCTGATGGAGCCTTGGGGAGAGGGGCTACAAACATCTGGTCTGGAGTCGTGGCTCTGCTTGGTGGCTGTGGGGCCATTGCTCTTCCTCTCTAAGCCTCAGCTTCCTCATCTGTAAATTAAGAATAATGAACTCCACTTTGAACGGTGTTCAAGATGACAAAAGGAAATAATGTTCCTGGCTTAGAATGTGTTAGTGCCTATATTCACCTCTCTGAATCCTGATACAGTGTTGATGATAGTGGTGAAAATTTTATAGTAGCTATTGCTGAGTAACGAACCACTTCGTAACTCACTTTCTTAAAATAATTAGCATTTGCTATTGCTCATGAGTCTACTGGTCAGCTGGGCCATTCTTCTGGTCTTGGCTGGGTTCCCTTATGCATCTGTGGTCCGGTATGGATCAGGTAGGCAGCTCTTCTGATCCAGCCTGGGCTCTTTCACATGTTTGGGGCTTGGCTGGCTGCAGGCTGATCTAGGATGACCTCGTCTAGGACAACTGGTCTCCTCTATGTGGTTTCTCACACTCAAGCTGGCAGCCTAAGCTTGTTCACATGGTGAAGGCATGGCTCCAAGAGAGTGAGATTAAGCTCCAATGCCTCTTGAGGTCTAGGTTTAGAATTATAACACCATCATTTCCACCAGGTTCTGTTGGCTACAGCAAATCCCATGGCCATCCCAAAAGGTGGGGGAATAGGTGCCACCTCCTAATGGAAGCTGCTGCAAAGTCTCATTGCAAAGGGAGTGGATATAGGGACAGGTAAAGAATAGGAAAGAAGTGTCCGGGATTTGCAAGCTGATAAGTTAGCTTGTTACTATTTCATGGATTCTACTAGAAGACAGGAGTTTCCTGTGTCAGAGACAGAGAACTTTTTTATTCACAGCACACAGGCAGCATGAGCTCATGTTTGTTTGAATCTTTTCCCCAAACCACCCAAATCCCATGGCAGCAACACAGGTGGGCCTAGATGGATGCAGTAAGTTGTAATACTGGGAAGCAGCAGTGAGCTTAGGGAATCTGCAACTTTCATAGTAAGCAGAACCAAGCCTGATTTTTGTCCAAGGGGCAATATTTCCTCATCCCTCAGGTTGCTCGTTGCAATCACATGTCTGAAAAATGGCCCAATAAAGAGCATAAAGGCCTTGGATTCTTGTTATACCCAGGAAGAATGTACACGGACGCTAAGGGCCCATGGAGGACAGCCTCTCCTGATGTAGGGGACATTTTTGCAATTGATCTAGAATAAGGATGATGATGATGAAGATGATGCAAGCTAGTGTTTATTGAGCACTCACAATATGCTAGAAACTGTGTGTCATTTCATAACATATACTGACTAATTCAATTCTCACAATGCTATGAGGCAGAGATGATTATTTTTGCTCCGTTACAGATGATGATACTATGGCTCAGAGAGATTAGGCAGCTTGTCCAAGTTCACTCAGCTAGTAAGTGGGCTAGTAAGTGGTGAAGCTGGGATTCCAACCTGCTTTATGTGACATCAAGGAAGGTCATCTTAACTGTTAGTGAACATGTAACAGTGGGGACCCAAAGGGAGACAATGAGTTGATCAAGGGCACATAAAGCCTAAGAGGCAGAGCTGGAACTTGAACACAGGTGTCTTGACTTCCAGCAATGAGGTCTTCACATCTTAATCGTGACAGCTTCTGCTCCCACCCAAGCCTGGTCCACCTGGGGATGGGTGCCTTGGGTGGAGGACCAGGAGGTTGAGTTCTGGCTGGACTTCCTCTTGGTGATTGGGGCTGGGGAGGAGGTCCCAGAGGAGGCATATCCCAGTCCCAGCTCTGCCCCCTTTTCTGTCCAGGCCAAGTGGAAGCACCTGGTGTCTTGTGGCAGCACCCGTCTGGACATGTTTGAGCACATCAGCCTCATGACCCTGGACAGTCTGCAAAAATGTGTCTTCGGTTTTGACAGCCACTGCCAGGAGTGAGTCCTAAGCCTGGATCTGGGAACTTGGATCATTGACCCAAGGGAGTAGGAGAGGGAGGACTGACCAGGGCAATCAGAAGAGCCTTCCTGGAGGAGGTGGATCAGAGCTGGGCATTGAAGAACAGGGAATGGGAGAGAAAGAAAGGTCCTTTCAGGTAGATAGAAATGTTTGAGTAAAGGTAAGAAGGCTAGGATGAGCAGAGCATGTGTCACAGACAGTGAGGGGCCACCTTGGAAATGAGGCTGGAGAGGGAGGTAGGGGCTAGATCTTAAGGATATTAAAAAGCTATCTAAAGAGGTATGGACTTCACCTTGGGGTCTCCCTGGAGCCATGGCAGACATTTGAACATAGTCAGAGCTGAGTTTTAGAAATCTGTGTCTATGGAAGACTATCATGTAGTCACTGAATGGTGTTGATGTTGGATAGAGGAGATCAGGCAGGAGGCTGGGCCCATGGACAAGTTGGGAGAGGATGAAGTGTGAGCTGCATGAACAGTTTGGGAAGGAGAAGGGGCTGGTGAGAGTGATGATGAGCATGATTTCCAAGCTCTCCCTGGTGACTGCAGGCAGCTCCCAGGGATGAGGATGTGGGAAGAGAAGAAAATGTGGACAGTCATACTCCTGGCTCATTCCCACCATGCATCTTTGGGGCCATCTTCTCCTGGATGTTTAGTTTCATGATGAGAGGTAGAGGCTGGCTCCTGGGTAGGAGATGTACCCTGGGCTTTCAGTATGTGAAGTTATTGCCTTCCTTCTTGCCCTTGTTCTGCAGGAAGCCCAGCAAATATATTGCTACCATCTTGGAGCTCAGTGCCCTTGTGGTGAAACGAAATGAGCAGATCTTCCTGCACTTTGACTTCCTGTATCACCTCACTCCTGATGGGCGGCGCTTCCGCAGGGCTTGCAGCCTAGTGCATGAATTCACAGATGCTGCCATCCAGGAGCGGCGCCGTAGCCTCTCAAAACAGGGTGCTGATGGCTTCCTCAAGGCTAAGACCAAGACCAAGACTTTGGACTTCATTGATGTGCTTTTGCTGAGCAAGGTGAGCGCCTGTAGGTTCTGGTTTGAGAAGTGGGCAAGATCTCAATTTCAAATGTCAGATAGAGGAGCTTGAATGTGATCTATAGGGTACTGGGGAGCTATGGAAGGTTCTTGAAGAAGGGAGGGCCATGTATGAGGTGTTTTAGAGATGACTCTATGGAATGCAACCTGCAGGGACCGCTAAATATGAAACTGCGAAGAGCCTGAGATTTTACTCTACTTACAAACTAGTAAGTTACACAGCCACGGTGTGTGTGTGTGTGTTTATTTACTATATAACATATAATATAGTTGTTATGGAGCCCTGGTGGTGCAGTGGTTGAGAGCTACGGTGAGCTATGGCTGCTAACCAAAAGTTCGGCAGTTTGAATCCACCAGTCGCTCCTTGGAAACCCTATGGGGCAGTTCTACTCTGTCCTATAGGGTTGCTATGAGTCAGAATCGACTTGGCAGCAATGGTCTTCTCTTCTTCATAGTGGTTATTAGTGTCACTCCTACTCATATGTATAACCCTTATCTATAACAGAATGATGAAACGTTGCCCAGTCCTGTGCCATCTTCACAATTGTTGGTGTGCTTGAGTCCATTGTTGTGGCCACTGTGTATTCTGAGTGACTTCCAACCTAGGGGGCTCATCTTCCAGCACTATATTGGACAATGTTCTATTGTGATTCAAAGGGTTTTCACTGGCTGATTTTCAGGAGTAGATTGCCAGTCCTTTCTTCCTAGTCTGTCTTAGTCTGAAAGCTCTACTGAAACCTGTCCACCACGTTTGACCCTGTCAGTATTTGAAATAACGGTGGCATAGCTTCCAGCAACATAGCAACACGTAAGTCACCACAGTACAACAGATTGACAGATGGGTAGCGGATATGTATACATGTATTTATATATTTTATATTAGACTCCTAAATCAGAGTAGACCATTTATTTCACAGTAATAACAACATCCATAGCAGCATCATAGTGCTGGTTCCCCATTTCCAAACTATTCCGAGGCCCACATGACGTGGGCCCAATTTTTCAACTACATGCCACAGAGTTTGCACCATAGGAGATGATCCCAACATTATCAGTCTTTTAGTTTATGTAGAACAGGTGGCACATCTGCCCTCCTCTCTTCAAAGACATAGAGGGGAGAGGGGTAGTGACCTTTATTCTGGAGTATAAACAAATACTCTCCAGAGAGAGGGCAAAGTCTCTAGGTTTACAACCCCTGACATGTAAGCAAAAACCTCTCAGGGAGATAAGACTGGAGTGTATGGACTTACTACCCTAGGTTGTGAGCAAATGGCTCTGGAGCAATCCTCAGTCTCTAACATCCAGGGATAGCTGTTGTTCAACATAACCTAGGTTGCCTTCGAAAGCTGTGCAATGAATCAGGAAGGCCAAAGAAGAATTGATGCCTTTGAATTATGGTGTTGGTGAAGAATATCAAATATACTACCATGGACTGCCCGAAAAATGAACAAATCTGTCTTGGAATAAGTACAACCAGAATGCTCCTTAGAGGCAAGGATGGTGAAACTTCTTCTCTCATACTTGGATATGTAATCAGGAGGGACCAGTCCCTGGAGAGGGACATCATGCTTGGTAAACTAGAGGGTCATCAAAAGAGAGGAAGACCCTCGATGTGTTGGACTGACACAGTGGCTGCAACAATGGGCTCAAGCATAACAGTGATTGTGAGGATGGAGCAGGACTGGGCAGTGTTTCATTCTGTTCTACACAGGGCCACTACGAATTGGAACTGACTTGAGGGCACCTAACAACAAGGTTGCCGGTGATTTTTTTTTTCTCAGAAAGCCCTCATCATGGAGAAACATGGAAATATTAATGGAGCATTCAGTTCTCCCACTAGGGATAAAAGAGATGGCAAGGAGAACAGGGAGGAGGCCTGTGGGGTGGGGGGGCTTTAGAGATGGTGAGAAAGGGGTGGTCTAGGACTGCAGGGTAGGCTTGGATTTCTAGATGGAAGATGAATCTTTGCAGATGGTCTCAACTGGAGTGTTGTTTCCCACTCATGGTGACTCCGTGCCCAACAAAACGAAATGTTGCCCAGTCCTGCATCACCTTCACAATAGTTGGTGTGTTTGAGTCCATTGTTGTGGCCACTGTGTATTTTGAATGTCTTCCAACCTAGAGGACTGATCTTATAGCATTACATTGGATAATGTTCTGTTGTGATCCTTAGGGTTTTCACTGGCTAATTTTCAGAAGTAGATATCCAGGCCTTTCTTCCTAGTCTGTCTTAGTCTGGAAGCTCCGCTGAAACCCGACCACTGTATATGATTCTGCAGGTTAGGCTCAGGGACCCTTAGAGCTGATGTGATTCAGGAATAATGGTGATCTTGCCTTCTCTCCAGGATGAAGATGGGAAGGAGTTGTCAGACGAGGACATCCGAGCTGAAGCCGACACCTTCATGTTTGAAGGTGAGGATTCCAGCATGGGATTGCATTGGGGGCAGGAGTCTCTCCTTCCCGGGGACTTGGTGGGTGGACCTTGGACAGCTGTATTCTTCTCTACCCTCTTCCATCCTCCTTGAGGACCTCAATGCAAGGGAGCTGTCTGTCCTCTGGTGCTGAAGCAGCCCAGTGACCCAAATCCGTCTGGCTGCCCTCAGGCTATGACACCACAGCCAGTGGCATCTCCTGGGTTCTATACAACCTCGCCAAGCACCCAGAATACCAGGAGCGTTGCCGGCAGGAGGTCCGAGAGCTCCTGAGGGACCGCCAAGCAGAGGAGATTGAATGGTGAGTGCAGACACTCATGACTTGTCCCACAAGCACCTTTCCTTGGCTCTCGTGGGGATGGGGGAAGGTCTTTCTATTGATTCTGCCCTAATTGCTTAGTGAGAATAGGAGCAGAGGCCAGATGCAGGCCTGGTCAGGAGGGGAAAGGTTGTGGATTTTGGTCAGGAAGACCTGGTCTGTTGGGAGAATAACGACAATGTATGAGGGTGGATGTCACTTAGTACGTGTTCAGTAAATGAACATCCCCTCCTTCCCCTTGTTTTTCTCCTTGAAATCACATTTTTTTCCAAAGGTCTTTACTCCCCTGGATGTTTGCCCTTCTCCTGTCTCCCAATTTCTATTCTATTGTCCAGTCCAGGGATTCACATGGGACATCGGGGATAAAAGTCTTCCATTTCTTGTCCAGGAACACCTGCATTATTATCAGTCCAGTCCTCACCCAGCAGACACTGCTTTACTGTGTCCAACTCAATCTCCATGCCAAATGCTGTGCCCAGCTCCTTTCTGTGTGCTGAAGTCCCAGGAAGGACCCATTCCCAGGCCCTGTGTTTTAGGAGTTCCCAGCCTGGTGTGGGAGCAGTCACAGGCCAGGACAGTCCCAGCTTACATGAATAGGACTGGAGTTCAGAAAGAAGAAACCAGGCTGGGGGCGTGATGGAGATGTCTCAACTGAGACCTGGAATGATTATTAGTAACCATTTAGGTGCAATTGGAAAGAGTGCTCTAGGTCAAGGAAACAGTCTGGGCAAAGGCCAAAGAAAGAGAGAGAGAGACAGAGAAAGAGGGGGAGGGGAAACAGAAGAATCTAATTAGTTAGATAAAGTATCAAACAAACAAGCAAACAAAAAATCAAAGCAATTTCTGTCAAGTTGATTCCGACTCATGGTGACCTCGTGTGTCAGAGTAGAACTGTTCATAGGGTTTTCAATGGCTGTAATCTTTTGGAAGTATTTTTTTCAGATTACTTATAAAAATTCATTATATATGAAAAATTAATCCTTTTTCTGTTTTGTGTTGCTAAAGATTGCCTTTTGACTTTTTTGAACTTTTTGTTAATTTTTATGAAGTCAAATTTATCCATCTTTTCTTTTACAGCCAAACTATCCATCTATTCTCCAGGGTTCTGTGGGACTGCCTTGTTTACTAGATGTTAAGTTTTTACCTATTCATGTGTCTGTCTCTAGCTTTCTAGTCTGTCCCCTGATTTGATTATCCTGCTCTCGCAACAGTATCACACTGTTCTGTTTACCACAGCTTTGTAATAGGTCTTAAAGCTGGTAGAAAGTTTCCTGTCTTTGATCTTCAATTTTTAAATTATCCTAGCTTTTCAAGATCTTTTATTCTTCCAGAAAAAATTTAGAGTAAGTTTCTCAAGTTCCTAAGAAAATCAGCTAGACTTTTATTTGTACTGAATATATGATACAGTTGTAGAAAATAGAACACTTTTCGATATTAAAACATACTATTCCAGAATATAGAATGGATATCTAGCTACTCAAACAACCTTATCAGCTCTTAATAGACTAGAAAATGTCTGCTTAGAGATCTTATGCAGGCTTTGTTAAATGAATCATTTGATATTTTTGTCACTACGGGGTATAGTATCTTCTATTGGTATTTCGTTTGGATTGAGTGAGATTTATCAGTGCATTTGGAATATAGAGCTTTCACATGTCTTGTTAAATTTAATCCAGGTATTTTATATTACTATTATTAGCATCTTTTGTTTTCTTTATTACTAGTTAGTATTATTATCTCTTATAAGTGGTTAGTACTATATACATACCAGTTATCGACATAGAAAAATTTATGATTTATGTATATAAATTTTGTGCCCAGTGAACTTAGTAAATGCTTAGGATGTTGTCTCATATCTGTTGGGGAAAATGTGGATCATTTAATAAAAAACCCTTGGGATTATTGGGAAGTTTCTTAGAAAAAAGTTAATTCAATCTGCTGCTCATTTCTTATAACAAGATAACATCCAGATGAATGCAAGATTTAAAATTTAAAGAGGAAGTCTTAAAAACTCTAGAAGAACTCATGTGAAAGTTATTTTATAGTGAAGGCCCTATTCTGACACAAGTTTAAGGAGGTATACAAGAAGAGATGGATATACTTTTCAAATGAAAAAGCTACAGAGCAGTGGGTATAGTATATAGTATGCTGCTACACCCTCTCCTCACCTGTTAACATTGTTAAGTTCCAAAGACTAGGTTATTATGCAAAATTGGCATTATCTGAAAATGGAGGATGACCACATCAGATCACAAAAACAGAGGATGACTACATCATTACGTAACTGTCAAACCTCTGAGAATCATGGCCCAACCAAAGTGATACATAACCTTAACCATCAAATCCAGCGTTACTCTCGCCTCGCACCTGGGCATTTGTTGCTGCCAGACATACATCACTAATGTGAAAAATAGTCGGATAGTAGATTTTTTACTATTGTCGTAAATGCAAAATGTTGGATAATGAGATAGTCGATAAGTGAGGAGAAGGTAGACATAGTTTTTTGAGATGCAGAAAAGCATCTCTGGAAGGACACATAAAGAAATAATAACCTGGGCAACCTGTGGGGAGGGAATGTATGTGGTGCTGGGCTACAAGGGTGTTCTTTCATAGTTTTTGAAATTTGAACCATTTGACTGTATCAGCTATTTAAAAATATAAACAGTCATACAAAAAGAAGCAGATTAAAAAAATTCAGCCACCTCACTGAATCCTTAGTGTCCGTGGGTGGTGAAAATAACACACTCAGCTTCTGACTGTAAGTTTGGAGGCTCAGTTTCACCCAGAGGTGCCTTGGAAGAAAGGCATGGTGATCTGCTTTGGAAAAATCAGTCATTGGACATCTTATGGAGTACAGGTCTACTCTGACACACATGGGGTCTCCAGGAGTCAGAATCGACCCAATGGCAACTGGAACTGGTTACTGAATCCTCACTGTTTACAAAAGTTTCCAGTCAATTCTCTTGTGCTTTCCAAATATAAAACCACTATCTGCCAGTACAGATACATTTCCCCCACATTTCTAATAACTATGCTCTTTTTTTTCTTTGTCTTATTGCATCAGCTACTATCTCTAGTACAATGTTAAGTAAGAGAAGAATTTGGATATGTTTACTTTGTTTCTTACTCATTTGCCTTTGGTCGCATAGTGGTTAAGAGCTATGGCTGCTAACCAAAAGATTGGCAGATCGAATTCACCAGGTGCTCCTTGGAAAACCTATGGGGCAGTTCTACTCTGTACTACAGGGTCACGATGAGTCAGAATCCACTCAACGGCAATGGGTTTGGTTTTTTTTTGTTTTTTTTTTTACCACAAAGAATATTTTCTTTTTCTGCAAATTTGTCAACCTTTTCAGGGATGGCTTTTGGGTGTTGTGATTTGCTCAGACAGTCTGCTAAAACACCTCTGTAAATTTTCTCTTGTACTTGTGTAATATTGCTTTTCTAATGCTTAATCTTTTTTTTTTTTTAAATTTTACTGTGGTGAAAATATACATGATGAAACATACACCATCTCAACAATTTCTACATGTACAATTCAGTAACATTGTTTACATTCTTCAAGCTGTGTGACCATTCTTGCTATCCTTTTGCAAATCATTTCACCACCATTAACATAATCTCAAGGTCCCCTAAGCAAAAATTGTCCCCTGTCCTCCTCCCTCCAACCCCTGGTAACCACTAGTAATTTTTGGTTTCCAAATGTTTTGCTTATTTCATATGTGAGACCATACCCTATTTGTCCTTTTGTGACTGACTTATTTTGCTCAGCATGATGTTTTCAAGGTTCATCCAAGTAGTGGCATGCATCAGGACTTCATTTCTCTTTATGGCTGAATAGTATTCCACTGTGTGTATATACCATATTTTGTTAATCTATTCATCTAATGTTTAATCTTTGACCAATATAGAATTTACCTTGTTATAAGGAATGAGGGTCAGAGAGGTAGTAAAAAAGTGTCACCAGGTAGCAGGGACCTGGGGAGTCTTTGCTGTCAGGTTAATTGTTGGGGGGCCGGGGCTCTTTAGGGACGACCTGGCCCAGCTGCCCTTCTTGACCATGTGCATCAAGGAGAGTCTGCGGCTACATCCTTCAGTCACCGCCGTCTCGCGCTGCTGTACCCAGGACATAGAATTTCCAGATGGCCGGGTCATCCCCAAAGGTGCCCACAATGGCAAGGGGGAGGTCCTGGGCAGGAAGGGAAGCCCACCAGGCAGCGGAGATCTCGTCTTGACTGCCCCCTCCTCCCACAGGTGTTACCTGCCTCATCAGCATCTTCGGGACCCATCACAATCCCTCTGTGTGGCCGAACCCTGAGGTGCCACCCTCCCCCACCCATCCTTATCCACTGCAGGAACCTGGGGAAGAGGCGGGGTCCCGAGCAGGGAATCAGACACCGCATCTGGCATTATACGCACATCTGCCTTTCCAGGGTGGTCTGTCTTGGGAGACCTTTCCCAGCAGCCCTGTCTCCCCACCCCCAGGTCTATGACCCCTTCCGCTTCGACTTAGAAAACACTCAGAAGAGGTCGCCTCTGGCTTTTATTCCCTTCTCTGCGGGTCCCAGGTGAGATCTGCTGGTAACTGAGGAAGGACGGGGGTGGGGGTGGGCGTCTGGAACTTCCTCTAGGTCTGATTGTGTGTTGGGGGGAGTTTCAGATGGTCCAAGTTCCAGCCCCCTTCCCTCCCCTCCCTGGGAGGTTTGGACAAGCAAGGATCTGGGGGAAAGGAGGTGGGATCCAAGGACGGTTCCCCGGGTGCTCAGAGCCCTTCCCCCATCTGCTGTTCTGAGTGGGCAGTTGGAGTCTGGGCTAAGCTCAGGAGACGCGAAGACCTCGTGGGGATCCCGGTGCGGTCAGCCCCCTTTTATCCCTCAGGCTGATCAAGGCGGAGATGGGGGTCCTGGGCCGGGTTCCAGGCACAATGGGAGCCGGATGAGGGTCCTCGGCTAACTCAGACCCCGCCTGGTCCGCAGGAATTGCATCGGGCAGTCGTTCGCCCTGACCGAGATGAAGGTGGCCCTGGCGCTCACGCTGCTACGCTTCCGCTTCCTGCCCGACGACACCGCGCCCCGGAGGAAGCCAGAGCTTATACTGCGCGCTGAGGCGGGGCTGTGGCTGCGGGTGGAGCCGCTGAGCGCAGGCCCGCAAAAAGAACCCACCCAGCCCTGCCCCTTAGTTTCGCCCTCACCCACCCACCTACCTTAGCGGACTCCCAGGAGTAAAACTCTGCTGTCCCTTCTGCCTGAGCTTTCCTGGGAGTCAGCAGGGGCACTTGGGGACCGCGGGGACCCGGGGGGTGGGAATGGCTGGGTGGAGTCGGGGCCGGCCTCTCTGAGCCCAAGACCCCCCACGCTGCCTACGGGTTCTCCCAGAGCCGGACCATGGAATTAACCTGTGGGCAATAGGGAGCCATGGGAGGTGTTAGAGGAGGAAAGGGACCAGGGTTGAAGATGGACTTAAAGGATAAGATTGCGGCCCTGAGACAGGGAGGGGAATCCATAGTGGCAGATGCCTTCCTCTGGGCTGCAAGTATTCACCAAAACGAAGGCCCTTGATTAGCCCAGCACACAAGGGGAGAGGATTCTTGCAGCCCACACCCAGGCAGCCTGTCTAGGACTCTTAGTTTCCTCCCTGCTGTTGCCAACGACCACACCCCTCCCCATGTCTGCCCCTCCCAGTCAGTCCCCGGAGATCTCCTTCCCCTGCCTTCAGGAGCCCCTTCCTCCTCTGGCCCCCTTGTCCCCAGACAGCCTGGCCAACAGATACAGACTGAGCCCCTGTGTGCTCAGTGATCTCACAAGAGAGTCAGTGGGAGACTCATCCCGTTCCTCCCTCCAGGGTCCTCCTTCTTTCCCATTATAGGCCCGCAGCATCAGCCCTGCTCATCTTGAGGTAGTGGGGGCAGGATATCTTAATATTCAAAGCCAGACCACTGAAAAAAAATAATCCCAAGGGCAGGGTTGTGGAGTCAGACTGCTTGAGCAAGTGAATTTCACTCTCTGTACCTCAGTTTCCTCATCTGTATAATGGGGATAATAGCAGTACCTACCTCAAGTGGTCCTGGGGACTGAATGTGAAGGACTCTGAGCTCTGCTTGGCGCAGTCACTGCTGAATAAATGTGGCCTTTTTGGTGTAGTGGTTAAAGTGATCAACTGCTGACTGAAAGCTCGGTGGTTCCAAATCACTAGCAACTCTACTGTAGAAAAGATGTGGCAGTCTGCTTCCATAGAGATTTACAGCCTCGGAAACCCTATAGGGTCGCTCTGAGTTGGAATCAACTCCACGGCAGTGGATCTTTTCTTTTTTTTAACCCTCTCAGAAATCCTGGCTCTTGCAAATCAAAGCATGCTGCCTCCTGTGACTATTATCTGCTCTATAAGTTTAAAAGTGTGATTGGAACTCAAAGGGAAGAATTTGAACCTCGGTTCTCCTTTAATCAGCTCTCCCCCCTGGAGTGCGTTATAGGAGAATTTATTTCTGAGATGGTGGGGCACCTGGAGGTGCAAGGGATGGGGACTCCAGAGAAACCTCAGTTAATGTCCCAGAATAAGATCCTGCTACAAATAATCATCTCTTTTTATAGTCTAAGGGCTTCTGCATTACTGAGCCCCTGCAAACCCCTCCAACCTCCTCTCTGGCTTATCCTTGCTCCCTCACTGCACTCCACCACCTTGGCCTCAATTCTGATCTCCTATTGTTAGCTGATGTTGAGTTGGCCCAACTCATGGTGACCCCATGCGCAATGGAACAAAATGCTTCCTGCTCCCGCGCCATCCCCATGATTGGTTGTGGATTGGACCATTGTGATCCACAGGGTTTTCCTTGCCTGGTTTTTGGAAGTAGATCACTAGGCCTTTCTTCCTAGTCCATCTTAGTCTGAAAGCTCCACTGAAACCTGTTCAGCATCTTAGCAACACACAAACCTGTACTGACAGATGGGTGGTGGCTGTACATGAGGTGCATTGGCCGGGAATCAAACACAGATCTCCTGTATAGAAAGTGGAAATTCTACCACTGAACCACCACTGCCCTCAGTCTCTTATTTAAAACAAGCAAACAAATCTATTGTCATTGAGTCAATTCAGGCTCATGATGATCTATTAGAATAACATATATTATACCCAGTCTGCTCTCCCCAGGGCCTTTGCACGTACTATTCCTGGTGCTTGGCATGCTCTTCTCCCACACCTTTCATGCCTGAGTTTCATTACTCAGGGCTCAGCTGAAATGTCACCTCAGAGAGATTCTTCCTTCACTATCTATGTACTGCTCCCCTCCCAGTTAATTTCTATCCCATTACTCCACTTATTTTCCTTATAGGTCTTATCATCTGAAACCATCTTGTTTATTTGTTAATTGTGTGTAATATTTACTAAGTTGAATATACCCGTAGTTACGCGAAATCTACAAGTGCCTTTGATGCTAAGATGGCCCAGAGCCTAGAACTGGATAAGTGGCCCAGGGAATTCTTCGACCCCAATCCAAAGATTCAGTGTAAGGGTAAAGTCTACCATTCAGTGTTACACAAAACCTTCTATTAATAGCAGTCTGGGAAAAAAATCGAGCCATGGTTTTAAAAGTTTAGAATCCTTGAGTTAAGCACTAAGACAAACAAACAAACAAATCCATTGCCATCAATTTGATGGTAACCTCACATTTTATGAAGTGGAACTGCTCCATAGGGTTTTCTTGGTTGTAATTTTTACAGAAGCTGATCACCAGGCCTTTCTTCTGTGGCACCACTGCATGGGTTCAAACTGCTAACTTTCTATTTAGTAGTGGACACAAACCATTGGTGCCACCCAGGGACCTAAGTTAAGCAAAAATAAGTAGATTTCTTTCCTGCAGGACTTCTCGGAACATTTAAAATTCTAATGTGCACTGGGTGTTTGGGAGAAGGGCCCCCAAGCATGCATTATTTTGCAAATATGGTTGGTAAAGCAAGTTGGTTAATATTTACTATGTGTCTAAAATGCACCAGTCATGCAGTGATACAGGCATTGAGCCCCAGGTCTTCCACTCCTTAAGGGGAACTGGGATTTGAGTGCCATCTGGGGGGAGGCTTGGTACAAAATTGGAAGTTGTGATTATAAATAGTACCCTGGAAAAATTGCAAATGTAATGTCCACCTATGAGAAGGGCAGAGGGTGCAATGGGACACCATCAGGAAATTAATTGGAGGTCCCCCTTTGGAACATGTGGAGTAGGTGAGCCTCTCCCCCAGAAGCTCACCCAGACAGGCTGCAGATCCTGTCTCTGGGCCAAGACCAGGAATTGCCCTGCAAACACAGGTCAGACGCTGCCCAGGTTTGTGTGTCTGTGTGTGTGTGAGTAACTGTGTATGTGTATGTCTGTGTGTCTCTCTGTGTGTATATATGTGTCTCTGTGTATGTGTGTGTGTCTGTCTGTGATGTGTAAGTGTGAGGGCACTTCTCAACGGGTGTTGGAGTCTGGGAGAGTTCATCACAGCTTGTGGTTATTCCAGGAGTATACCAGGAGTAGAGAGAAAACAGAACAAAGAACAGCAGACCAAAGGGAATTAATTTACTAAAGCCCAGACTCCCCAAGGAAGGTTTTCGGACATCCAGCAACAGGGAAAGGGGCCTCCAACTGCCTGCCAGCCCCCTACTCATGATCATTGATATGGTCATTGCCCACCAGATCCACAAGCCCACAAAGAGACCTGATGGAAACAGAAACCTACACACACCAGACAGAAGCAACACCAATCAACATTGACATTCATAAATAAACAAATAAAAACAAAACAAACAGCAACAACAAAAAACTCAAACTCATTGATTCCGACTCATGGCAATCCCATGCATTATAGAGTAGGGTTTCCTTGGCAGTAATCTTTACAGAAGCAGATCACCTTGCCTTTCTTCCACAATGCCACTGGTTGAGTTCGAACAGCCAACCTTTAGGTTACTAGTTGAGTGCAAAGCATTTGCACCACCTGAGGACCTCCATTCATAAATAAAGCAGCCCATAGTCACACAAATTTTACCTAGTGGCCTGAAAGAGAAAGAGCCAGATGAAACAGAACTGACCCACAAATTATAGAGACAACACAAGAAGTTTGCACCAATCTTTTGATTAGCAGCTGAGTATTTAACCATTGGGCCACCAGCGCTCCTTAAATGAAACCCATAAAGGGTACTAATAGGAGATGTTATCAGGAGAGATCAGTCCTTGGCGAAGGACATCACGCTTGGTAAAGTAGAGAGTCAGTGAAAAAAAGGAAGACCCTCAACAAGGCGGATTGACACAGTGGCTGCAACAATGGGCTCAAGCATAACCATGATTTTGGGGATGGCGCAGGACCGGGCAGTGTTTCGTTCTGTTGTACATAGGGTCGCTATGAGTCAGAACTGACTCGATGGCACTTAACAACAACAACAATAGTATGCCTAACATTCCCACCGTGCATGTAGGTGGGACAGAGAGCAGAAGGACCTCAATTAACCTAACAAAAACATTGCAAGTAGAAGACTTCACCTCTCCCTCAATGATAAACTTCTTTACCCAACTGCCACGGTCATCCCGATTTGGAAGTTGAATAGGCATCTCAGACTTAGTATGTCCAAACTAAACCTGATTTCACCCTTAGACCTACCCCTCTGCTGGTTTCAAAAATGGTTTCATTTACCCAATTCCCAGACATAAGCATTTTTGTGTTGTGTAAATACGTATATGTAGGAGCCCTGGTGGCACAAACTGTTAAGCACTCAGGTTGGTCAGACAGCAGGCTGGTGGCTCACAGCTGCAGAGGTTGATGAATCCAAGATCGGCAAGTGAGACTTGGCCCAAGTCCCAAGAACTGGAGGTCAGATGCTGATGAGCTGAATACAGGACACAGAGCAGAGCAAAAGCCAGCAAGCTTTGCCAGAAAGTCCACATATATTGAATGCAGGCCACACCCCCAAGGAAACTCTCTTTTAACTGAGTGGCGGCTCACAGCAGATCCCATCATGCAGGTGATCACATTATATCAGATCTCATCATGGAGGTGATTACCTCATTGTATGACTGCCAAACTACATCATAACTGCCAAACCTCTGAGAATCATGGCCCAGCTTAGTTGACACAAAACCTTAATGATCACAGATCAAAAATGCAGAACAGAATTTCAAATTCACATGAACTCTAAACTTTCTGGAGCCATGGAAGCTGGAGGGACCCCTGAAACTATTACCCTGA